GTGTGTGTGTGTCTGTGTGTCTGTGTGTGTATGTGTGTCTGTGTGTCTCTCTGTGTGTAACAATAACAAGAAAGAAGAAGTGAGGGATTTAAGTGGGAGACATAGGAGGAGCTGGAAGAAGAGAATGGAGGGAAATGTTGAAAGTATATTTTAATAAAAAGAACATCTTTCTTTCCCTGGATGTGCTACAAATAGTAACCAATCCCGGATCCCTCAGTGCATATCTTCTGTTTTGTTTGCACAGTGACCTACAATCACAGAAATGAAAACGTGAGTACCTTTCTCAAGATATATAAAGAATAAATAACTTGAGCAAATGTCTTCACAGTGCTGATTGTGAATGGCCTGAATTGAACTGTGTCTTTTCTGCCTTAAGAACTTCTAGTGAAAGACAAGCACCCCAAGACCTTAGCGTTTGAAGACAGTCTTCACAGAGGCAGTTGTGGTGGTAGGTACTAATCTGACGTGGCCATTTACTTTCGTTGATCATTAGCCATTCTTGATCTGAACTCTGAAAACTGTCTCGGTTTAAGTGCACTGTGGTACAATGGAAACCGGGTGCCTACCACTATAGAAAAATAAAACAAGATTTTCTTCTCTCTTGTTTACAAAGAAAAAGTTTGGAGTCAAACTGACTGCCTTCAAGTACTCATTCTGTTCCTGCGATATCACCTAAATTAGCCTCCCCTAGACTTGGTGTCTTCATCTCTAAATTGAGGGATAATGATAGTAATTCCCACCTCATAACGAACCCTTGTCCCTAAGCCTCTTAGGGTTATGGTGAAGCTTAAGTTACTGCAACATGTAAAAGCATTAGAGCAACACACGTGTGAGGAAGGCCTTGTAAATATGTCAGTTAACGCACTAGCTTGATATCATGGTTGTCAGTATATATCCATGTGTATGTATATGTGTGCCTATGCATAGTGTGTGCGTGTGTGCATGCATGCGTGTGTGTGTGTGTGTGTGTGTGTGTGTGTGTGTTCCTTTTGCTTATATTTATGAGCTACTACATGAAGGCCCTTACATGAAGGCTTGATTAATGGGTTTTTAACTGTTGTTGTATTAGAAATATTGAGTTTTTGGACATTCTTATAACTGTCTTGCAGCAGAGTGGTCTAAAAAGAATTGATTGTCGGCCGGTTAACAAAAGAGCGTTTTCATCCCAGGGCTTGGGTTCAGACTTAAAGACTAATAACACCTGCAAGTTTGCATTTGCAGGATTTAGGTAGAGAAAGCGCCTACCCTGTCCGTGGCTGAGGTGAGCAGTGGCTATCACTGCTTAGATGATCTGTGTGTGAGCCAGGTCTTCATGACCCATTTGCTTTTAACCTTTTCACATATGTGTTCATAAAGAAATGTATTAAATACACTTCTACATCAGTATTTGTATGGAGATGGGTTCATTATACTGGTAGCTAGGCAAGGATATACTTTCATCAAAGAATGAGGGGTGGAAATGTTCAGTCTCTATCATAGGACTGGAGAATGACTCAGTCCTTGAGAACGTTTGCTGCTCTTCCAGAGGACCCAAATTCAGTTCCCAGTAGACACACTGGACAGTTCAAAACTGCCCACAACTCCAGCTACAAGGCGTCGGGAGTGTGCTTCTGGTCTCTGTGAGCATTCGTACACGCATGGCATCCGCTCACACAGACAAGTACATAAACGTACATTAAAAAAATAAAAGCATTTTAAATGATACATTATATACATGTATACATTTTAAATGATACATTATATACATGTATACATTTTTTCAAAGAATAAATATGAAGTAAAAACAAAACCAGAATAATGTCTTCATTTTGTGAGACTGAATCCTATCTGTTCTTAGATGCCTTGCTTCCTCTCCTTTGCAGGATGTTATAAATATCAAAGAGCAAAATGTCAGCTCAATCTTGATACCTCCCATAACAGTCCAGTGTTTTCATGTAACTTCCACCACTTCTAATCACCTCTAGATGACTTGTAACAGGATAAAAGCCGTAATGAACATGTCAAGAAGCTTCTAGCATAACACTAAATTACTTGATACATCTATTCAATGTCCAGTGATACTATTAGCTGTTTAAGCAAGAACCTCCTAGGGAAAGCTATTAGCCGGCACCTCTCACCAAAACCTCCCAGCATGCTGGGTTGATCTGGAGACCATATGGCTCTCATCTCACAGGGTCCTCTCCCAGTCCACAAGAAAAGCCAAGTTTGCGCATACATTCCCTTCTGCTTGCACACCCAGCAAAGCACATGGAACCGGACATGCGAGATTGCAAAATATTTCAGCTCCACAGAAATGCAAATGTTTCCCTTTTCTGACGCAGGTGTTCCCCTGCAGGTTACTGGTGAGTGGCTAATGGACAAGAACTTGCGAAGCTCTTGGCAATCTTGATATAAGAGATTGTAAAAGTTCTATAACCCTGCCGAGCGTCTCAGGCCTTGGGCCAAAGCAACTAGACCGCTGCACGTCATCATCTCCCATGGGCCCTGACTTCAGGCGACTGAGCATGCTCTTTACAAACTTGACAGACAGCTGGGTCCTTTGCAACCTGCCCAGTATGTTATTTCTCGGACGACTTCCTGTGTGACCTGGGAGAGGGGAGAACTCTGGCGCTGAGGCAAGGTAAAAAAGAAAACAAGTCTGAAGCCTGAGAAGGAGACTATCAGTGAGTTCTCGGCACCTCCATCATCACATTCTGCACGATGCCAGGCACTGGGAACTCAGCATGAGCCACACAGAAGAGGTTTCTGCCCTTTGAACATCTCCATCCCTGGAGAAGACTGTTGAACAATTTCAAGTCATAGCGCTAAGATCCCAGCAATCAGGGGGTGAACACAGGAAGACTATGAGTTTGTTGCCTGTGCTACACAGTCAGATCTTGCTTTCCTTTTTAAATCAGATATTTGTGTCTGATATAAAAGAGATAAAATGAGGTTAGATGCTGGGTAAACTTAACTACTGAGAAACGAAGGGAGACATCCTCAGAGGTGGGACTTGAGCAATAAGAAGAAGCCTTGAAAGAAAACTTTTCCTAAATAGGGAGCAGGACTCACAGAGGCTGTGGATGTGTAGCTGGATAGGGAAGCAGAGGAGTGAAAGACAGTCCAGCTGCAGGACCAGACAGGATAAGGCAGCTCACACAGGACCTGTACGCCATGATGAGGAGATTGGGTCTCGCTCACACCTGCCCTTTGTTGAGCATCTATCATGTTCTGGGCCTTTACAAACACTGTTTTCATCCCTGTCGTAACCGCGCAAGATGGCTGACATTTTGCACATGGAAAGGGATCATATTCTAAGACTTTGTGTTTCCGTCAACGGAAACTTTTTTGGATAATACTCATATGATATAGTAAAGAGACTTCTAGAAAAAACTTGGTGTGTGGGGGAAAATATTCAAAAAAGAAAAAAAATCCTGTTCAAACTGAGGAAATTCTGGCCATTTTCTTGTCCTCCCTACCAAAATAACATTAAATTTTGAATAACTATCTGCATGATATGTACATTGAATTGGGTATTATAAATGATAGAGTGATTGTTTAAAATTCATGGAAGATAGAGTCGTAGGTTAAATACAAATACTATACCATGTCACTTTTTAAATGTCTAGTCTATGTTTTTTTTAAAAGAATTCACTACATCTTTTATTTTTTGAGATTATAACAGAAAGTCTCATCAGTGTGAGAGAACATATGCTGAACAAGAACAGTGACAAACATGTTAAATCGGCAGGGAAGGCCTCACACAAGATGCCAGCCATCTTGTGTGGTTACCACAGGGACAGAAGACAAAGCAGTACAGCTGCTGAGCATGGCAGAAAGTCTTCCCCGAGGAAGAACCCATCACATGGCTACTTAATACCTAATGGTCAGTCCTGAAAACATACATGTAAGTAACACTATACAGACTGAGAAGGCTGTCTTTAGGAAGATATATGTATTTGCATTTTATTTTATGTTTTGTGTGTGTGTGTGTGTGTGTGTGTGTGTGTGTGTGTGTGTGTTTGAGAACACATGTGAGAACGTGTGTGTTTGTAGATTCTCATGGATATGTTTGCAAGTGCATGTGGAGGTAAAAGAGAAACTTCTGGTACTGTCCCTCGAGTGCTGCCCACCTTGTTTTTAAGGCAGGATCTTTCACTGCCCTGGTGGTATTTAGTAAGGAGGCTAGCATGGCTGGCCAGCCAGCTTCAGAGGTGGAGTCTCCACCTCCACTCCCCAGTACTGAATTACTAGTGCATTCCGTCACACTTGTCATTTTAGACTTGTGTTCTGGGGATCTAACCCTGGTTCTTATGCTTCTGCAATAAGCAATTTGCCAGCTAAACTATATTATTCCCAGCCTATACCAAGCCATACTACAAGCGTGAGATCTGGGGATCCACAGATTTGGAGATTTCTAGAGGATCTTGGTCCCAATAGGAGTGTATACAGTGAATCAGAAATATGGGTTCTGAGATTTTCTTTCTTTCTTTCTTTCTTTAATTCACTTTACATCCTGATTGATGCCTCCACCAGGTCTCCCACACACATACACATAGTTCTTCCTTCCATCTCCCTTCTCCTCTGAGAGGGTGGAGGTCTCCCTGGGTATTCCCCACTCTGGCACATCAAGTCTCTGCAGGGTTAGGCGCATCCTCTCCCACTGAGGTCAGGCAAGGTGGCCCAGTTAGGGGAGTGTATTCCACAGACAGGCCACAGCTTTAGGGATAGCATCCTCTGGGGAGACAGGAGAGAGAACCAGAGGGCCAGGAGAATGAACCAGAATCTGCAGCTGGCTGAGGTGGAGTGGAGGCATCGCAGAGACATGCTGGTGACCTAGGATAGGGGAGGCTTCCAGGAATCAATGGGGGTGACCTTAACTGAGACTCGCAGCAGTGGGAATATGGGACCTGAAGAGGTCATATCTTGAGGCAGGAACCTCATTGGAGCCATAAGAACACCAACCCACCTATAAAACTTTTGACCCCAAATGTATCCTGTCTACAAGAAATGCAGGAACAGGGTATGGAGCAGAGACTGATGGAATAGTCAACCAATAACTGGCCCAACCTGAGAAGGTTATCAATATTGGTAAGGTCTATGGCTCTGATCCTGAACACCAATTATCCACCCTGATTATAGCATTTGCTGACTAGAATCTTGGTTACCAGAGCCATCACAAAAAATCCCGAAAATATAACTTTGTTACATAATAAAAAATATTTATATGTCCAAGTCACGCTTAGCATGAAAAGAAAATTATTGCTTAACAAATACTTTGTTCAGAAGACAATGGAGAAAACATGGAGAGAAAAGAATTAACAGACTAAGTGTGTGGCTGTGCTCCAGTCAGTCTACCCCAGTTGCTTTCAATAAAGGCAGACAAGTGTGGGGGACAAGTTGGACAGCGCTGTAAAGGGAAAAGTTACGTTTCCCTCAATACGCATCAGAATAGCCCTGAGGACAATGTCTGAGGAAGATGTGTTGATTTCTATTGACTCTATGTGTTCTGAGCCCATGCTGAGGTATCCCTTCCTCCTGAGGTACCAGTCACAGGACAGTATAGTATAGAATAGAATTTATTTAAGGCATGGGGAGGGGAGTTGAGGGGGTAGTAGAGACAGAGAAAGGGAGGGAGGGAGGGAGGGAGGGAGGGAGAGAGAGAGAGAGAGAGAGAGAGAGAGAGAGAGAGGGAGGGAGAGGCCATGAACACGTGAACACATGGAAAGGGGGAAGAAGGGACAGAGAGGGAAGAAGGTAAGAGGAAGAACAAGAGAGAGAGGAGGGGCAGCAGCCCATTTTATAGTGCATCAGGCATACCTGGCTGTTGCCAGGTAACTGTGGGGCAGAGCCTAGATGAGATGCAAATAAAACCTACGACAAGATACCTATTCTTGCCTGTTAGATTACTAAAAGCACGACAGTTCTACTCCCCTCGGCGGGCAGACATGGATAAACACGTGTCTTATCCATCTCTGAGGGGTTGCAAATGACACAAACCCTAAGGTTGCGTTCACTATCTTTCTGGCTCTGACAGGAACAACTTACAGGAGGGAGGATTTGCTTTGTCTCCCAGTTTGAGAAAGAAACCAGATGGATAATAATTAACTAAAATAAATATATTTGAGTAACTGCTAAGGTTTCACCTAACTCTTAAGTTTTAAATAAAGTTTGAGAAGACCGTAGGCTGAGCTTCTTTTGCTCCCAGAACACAGTGGCATCTCTGTTTCTATAACTGGTGCTCACTGAATGTTTACTAAGTAGATGTGTATCAGCTACGGATTGCAGCTGATTATTACTAACAGGACCAAACTAATTTTTCTCACCAAGAAAAAATATATAAATAAAACAACAAACAAAAGAGTCTAGTGTTGGGGCATGCTGATGCATGACTGCAATCCCAGCGCTGGGGAGACTGGGGCAGGAAGACTGAGTTCTAGTCTAGCCCAAGCTACACACAGAGTGAAATGTGAAAAACCAAATGGACAAAAGGAAGAGTTTGCCCCTCTCCCTTTAAGAGAAGTTCCCCAAGCTTTAAGATACAGAAAGTAGGGCCAAGTCTGGAGTCTAACTGCCAGCATGCACACAAATTCCCAGCCATATGACCTTGAACTTGCTCGGTCTCTGGCTGTGTATGAGTTTCTCCCATGGTAACAGGAGAATAACAATAGCTTCCATCTCTTTGGGCAAATAGTGCATCTTAAAAGATGCAATGTTGCTAGTCAGCTTTATCGCCTTTGAAAACAAATAACCTGAGAAAGACGACTTGTAGAGGGGAATTATTTGTTCGTCTTGCTGAGATATTTCAGTCGGTGACCATCTGGCTCCATGGTGAGTTGGAACACCATGGCAGTAAAAACACATGGCAGAGAGCGTTCACCTACATCATGATGGGAAGAGAGAGGAGGGAGGAAGGGAAGGAGAGAGGGAGGGGAGGGAGGAGGGGAAGAAAGGAAGGAAGGAGTAGAGGAGGGAGGGAGGGAGAAAGAGCCACCGAAAGTACACACAGTCAATAACCTTATCTATTTAACTAACCCTCATTTCTTGCTTTCCATCATCTTGCAATAATGATGGATTCATTGAGGGATATTAATTGAAGATTACGTCAGAAGGGTGGAGTCATTGTGGATTACATCAGAGTCTAAGGGCTCCCCAGAAGCCTATCAGCTTACAGCCAAGCCCTACCCTGAGCCTGTAGAGATGCAGCATTCAAACCCTCACATAGAGGAACTGGGTTTGGGTCAAAGGGTGGCCCCAGTGGTATGTTACCATCCATCCCTCCTGCTCATTTATAATACTAATTACAACTTCTAGTGACAGAAATTGTGATCATCCACATCTGTACTGTATAACATATGAAACACTCTCTCACACACTGTCTCTGCTTTCAGTCCCTTCTAAAATATCAGAGGTGTCCACAATGATACCTGCCTCAGAGGTTAGAGAAGGTCAAGTAGATGGCTCAGTGGGTAAAGCACTTGCCATAAGCATGAAGACTTACCTTTGGATCCCCAAAGCCCACAGAAAGCTGGTGTCGTAGAATGCATCAATAACCCCGGCACTCCTATGTGAGATGGGAGGGACCAAGACAGGAGAATCTCTAGAAGTTTAGGGGCCAAGTAACCTGGGATACAAAGCAGAGAACAAGAAGAGGCCATAGCTCAAAAGAAGCAGAAAGCAAGATCCAACATCTATGGTTGTCCTCTGCCTTCCTCGATACACATGCCATGGTGTACACTCACACA